CAAGTGAAGAGACAGCGCACACAGTGAGACATCTTTGCTACCTCTACCTCTGACAGAAGGCTAATACCTAGAATCCATAAGAACTTAAAAGACTACCAAGAAACCAAATAATCTAGTCAATAACTGAGCTAATAAAATGAACAGAAAGTTGTCAAAACACAAATGGCCAATAAACATATGAAAAAAGTTCAACATTCTTGGCCATTAGGAAACAAATCAAAACACTGAAAATTCATCTCACCCCAGTCAAAATGACTATCAAGACAACAACAAATGCTGATAGTGATGGGAAGGGAGTAAATGTCACTCCCGGGAATAGACTAAAGGAATCTAAATCAACATACCACATCATTTGCACATCAGTGTTTACTGTAACACTATTCATTACTGTCCAGTTACACAATCAGCTTAGATATCCAATCAATGGATGAACGGACAAAGAAAATGTGCTTTATGTACATAACAAAGTTTTATTCATTCAAAAAGAACAAAACTACTGCTTGCAGGAAAATGGATGCAACTGGATGTCACGTTAAGTAAAATAAGTCAGACTCAGAAAAAAACCAAACATTTCATGTTACTAAGATACATAAAATCATATGCACATGTATGACTTAAAAGTAGAAGACTAGGGGAATGAATGGGAATGAGAGGAAGAGGGGGTTGAACATGGTCAAAGTATATGATATGGTTGTATGAAAATGTCTTTATGAACCTGTTAGTTGTATATTATATTGGTATATAATGAATATATACCAATAAAAAATATAAATCAATGTCTTCACCTTCAAACTAAAATGATCACATCTACTCCAGGGACTTAGTCATATATGTGTCAACAAAGACACATTCATTTTAATTTTTTATATTCTACATAAATACTCATGGTAGCCATTCTACCTTGGGAAATATTGAAGGAAAAGCTAAGTGGAAAAGGGATGAAAACCATCAATTTGTATAGAATATAAGTACTCTAAATCAGTACTGGCAAAATAAGGGGAGAAATTTGGTTCTGTTAACTTAAACAACAATTTGGGATCAAATGTATGACTTTGTCCAACATGGGGCAATGATAGCTTGTTATGGGCTGAACATAAAATGATCAACTCAGGATCATGTGTTGAATGCTGAGCCCTCATTTAATGCTATTATTCTAAGAAATGGGGGAGAAGGTGGGACCTAGCTGAAGGCAGTGGTCACTAGTTGTGCCTTCAAAAGCTTTTTGTCTCAAGCCCACCCCTCTTTCTGGTTATGGAGTCGAGGCTGGTTTCAAACTCTAGATCTTTTTCAGTCTCCTAAGGCTAGGTTACAGGCATGTGCCCGCCACACTTGCTAATTTTTTTGTGGTGATGGGATTCAAACACACAGCATTATACATGATAAGGACACAGCATTATGCATGATAAGGAAGCACTCTACCAGGGAGCTACATGCCCAGCTCCTTCCAATCTCTCTCTGATTTCTGACATCTGTGAGATGAGCAGCTTCATTCCTCCAAATCCTTCTGTCCTAGGTTTCTGCCTCACCACCACCCCAAAGCAGAGCCAGCAGACCACAGCCAGAAAGCTCTGAAACTGTGAGTCAAAAATAATCTTTTCATTCTTTAAACTGTTTCAGTATGTGCCAGTGATTAAAAACCTAACACAAAGCCAGGTGCACGCCTGTAGTCCCAGCACTTGGGAGGCAGAGGCAGGAGGATCTCTGCAAGTTCAAGGACAGCCTGGTCTACATAGTGAGTTCCGGGACAGCTGGGGCTACAGGGAGACTGTCTCAAAAAAAAAAAAAAAAAAAAAAAGCTAGTATAGTGCTTAACGTGAGGCAAACTAAGGAACCCTCTCAGAGGTATTTCACAAATAGAGGAAATGCACATTGACAAAGCAGAAAGACGTGAGTTTCAGCTGACTTTAACAATTTGCCCCATCTTCAACAGTTTCATCAAATCCCTTACACAGAAGGCAGAATGACTCAAAACCAAGCAGAGTATTGAATACAAAAGATCTCGGATTAGGTCCGCAACCTCACACCCAGATGTGAGAGTTCTAAGGACAGTCATCCTGTAGATCATCTTTTCCTACCACCATCAACCAGGACAGAACAGAAATCTTCAGTCATTTGGCCTCAAGTTTTCAAGTTTCCTCAAGCTCTTTACTGGGAGCTACTTACTTTATCCCAATTTAAAATCGAGTTAAAGCAAGGCGCTGAAGGGGTCTTTTCCGGTAACCCTCTACTAGCTTACTTCTCATGTGCTATCTACTATCTGAAAATAATAAAAGGACATTGTTTGGACTACCATCTCACTAATTGAAAGTGACAATCTCTTTGGTCCCAATGTTTTGAGAATTCAAAGAGGTTGTATAGTGGTATTGCTTCCATATTTGAGTGGACTAAACAGCTAAAGAGCATACTTTGCTTTAAAATGGGATATCAAAATGAGTTTCAAGTATTTTATAATACTTATGCCACTGATTTAATTAAACATAAAACATCTCAAAATCTGTTCATAAACTTTCAGTATTATCCATAAAATGAAAAACTCTTTTTAGTCCATAAATAAAATTCTACAAAAATAAAAATATCTCACTAGGCATTTTTTTCTTTATTTGAACTGATAGTTTCAACATACTATACATACTAAACATAACTCGTAAATGCATTATACCAAATGTTCAGTATGCATTAATTCCTTCAGGTCACAAGGGAACTATTAAGCAAATCACTGCTCCTTGTACTGACCATTGCCTTCTAGCCCAGAAGTGATTATCTTTGCCCATTAAAGATATAGCATTTATGTGTTCATTCCTCCAAATGCTCATTATTTGTCGTTTATTTAAACTAGTGGAGAAGAGGTCAAGTGAGAAAAAGTCTTCCAAATTTTAACATTAGCAAACTGACAAACTTGATTAAATTAAATAAAACCTGTTTTGTTTTGTTTTTTTTTTTTTAGGGTTCAAATAGCCTTTATTGATGCAACAGTAAATCAAGAGAGAATATATCAACTGTTGTTCTGGGATGGCATCTGCAGACAGGATTGCTGCCCTTGGAAAATAAAACCCAAGTTATTAATGAGCAATATCAACTGATCAACCAAATACAACACAATGACTTCCCCAAATCATACTGTCTAAATTCAAATAAAAAAAAAGCAGTTCAACAAGAACAACAACTTTAGTTTTACTAATCTCTTTACACTTTAATAGACAATAAAGCCATTATACTCATCTTTTCCCACTAGAAGCTATTATCAAATTACTTGCTCTAGGTGAAAACAATTCAGTCTGCTGGGCAGCTCTAAATTTTGCTTAACTGTGCTAGCATACAGTTAATGTGCTGATGTATAAAACTGGGAACCTCTGAAAAGGGCCCCCAAGATTGCCTTTGGGTGCTATTCTGGAGACTTCACACAGCTTACAGCAAGGCCTCGGAGGACAGTCCCAGATCAATGGGCACACAGATGAGTACTTCTTTATGTCATGAAAATTCTGCACTGTGTAAGCAAAGAAGCTCTAATTAAACCTCAGCCCAGAATATCAATCAGACAAAGAACAATAAGAAATTGGAAGAGAGACAAGACCAGGGTCTCCCCAGAAACATAACAGGCAGGTGTTGAAGTTACCTGACTAATCCATCAGCTTGCATCTGGACCCACTTCTGGCAAGAGAGCTATTGTTTCAAATATATATTTATATTTAGTTATCACAGGCAAATTTCTATCACTGCATAAACAGAACTAAGGCTCAAATTTTCTAGCTTTACAGAAAAATTCTTGACTTGAATGATAACATTCAGTACTTGCGGCTGCCACTGGTGTTCACTGAAAAAAATAAAAAAAGCAACTTGCCAAGGGTAGATATATGTAGTCAGCTTTTCTTTTTCTTGATCTGTCACTTAATATTTTATACCATATTAAAGATCAATAAAGCTTCTTTACTTAACGTTAAGGAAAACGTTAAATAGGATACAAGTACTTTAAAGACTCTCTCCATGAACTGAATAAGCCGTCTGTGACTCAGGCCTCCCTATCGTGTTTTAGGCTGACCCACTTGTACAGTCACCATGGTTGGAAGACTCTCACTTCTAAGGGGCAGCAGTGAGTCCGCGCACAGTTAAGACTCCCACAGAGTGAAAGGCTGGGGCTACAGCACCTACCAAAGGACACCAATCTTTATTGAAAATGATCTCCCACCCCCCGCCTCGGAAACAGAACTTCAATACCAGCCTCATCTAGAGGCAACCTTTTCTCCAATACAACACAAGTCTGCAGGGGAGAAGGGTGGAGAAGCTCAGATCAGAACCCGACCGAGAGTTAGACTCGGTACATTTGGCCTTGCAAGCGGGTACGGTCAGCCCCGCGGGAAGTCGCCTGGGCGGGAAGGCCGCTCTAGAAAGCTCTGTGGGCACGCTCCCGGCCGCGCCGCCCGCGTCCCGAGCCGCGGGAGCCGCGGACCCCCCGGGCCCCCCGGGCCCCCCGGCGCGGACCGGAACTTTGCACAGTTTCCGCCCCCGGAGCCGAGACCGCGGGAGGCGCGGCCCCCCGCTCTCCCACCACCCGCCCCGCGGGGTAGGTCTCCGCCGGGGGTTAGTGGCGGCTGGGGGAGGGGATGGTGTGAGAGGACGAGGAAGGATGGCACCCAGTGCGCCGCTCGGCGTGCATCCCACGCGCCCCTCCGCCCGAGACGCCACCGCCACAAAGGGAAGGGCGACGCGCCCTCGGGCTCCTCTGAGAACCGCGGGCCGCGCTGCGTGAGGTGGGGTCGCGCGGCAGGTGACAGCCACGCCGCCGGTCCCGGGGCCCGAGTCGCAGCCTCCCCCCCACCCCCGGGCCTCGCCCACCCTGCGCGCCCTCCGACTAGCCGCACGCCCTGCATCTCACAATGGTCTCTGCGACGAGGCCACCGCCGAGCTCAGCGGCCGAAGGGCTCCCGCTGCGCGGAGCCGGCGCCGGAGCTAGCCCTGAGGTGCGCGCGGTGGCCGCCCTGTCGCGCCCGCGTGCCACCTCCTACCCTTTGGCGTGCTCGGTCTCCTCTTCATTGTCTCCGTCTATCCCGCACGTGTCCTGGTCGTCCAGCTCCAGGCTCTGCTGGCTGGCCGCAGACTCGCTGTCCTCCGCCATCGCGGCGGCGAGGGCTGGGAAGGCGGTGCTCCGGGCGGCGGGCGCGGCGCGACTGGGCGGGCACGGCCTCAGCTCCCTTTAGTGCCGCCCACCCTCCGGCTCCTAGTCTGGAGTCTGAGGTCCCGCCCACCCTCAGCCCCGCCCACACCGGCCGGTACGACCCCGCCCACCTCGCCTATCCACTGCGGCCTACCTCAGCCGGTGCGGCCCCGCCCACCTTGCCTTCCCTCTTCCGCCTACCTCAGCCGGAACGGCCCCGCCCACCTCCCCTACTGCTTCCGCCCATCTCGGTCAGCACGGCCACGCCCACCCCACCGCTCTCCCCTTCGCCCGTGCGCTCCCGCCCTTCTCAGCCGTGCCACGCCCACTCCGGCTAACCCCTCCAGGCCTGCGGCGGCCGCCCGTGATAGAAGCAGGGAGTGTGCGCCTTCCTTAGCCTGGCGGCGGTGGTGTGCGGGAAGGGAACCTGAGAGGTCGAGGAGGTGGGAGTAGGGCATGCCGGGTGGTGCGGCTCTGGGCAGCACCTGCGGTCTATAGGACACGCGTGTGGGTTGCGGTGCCGCGCGTCGGCGTCTGGAGAGCACCGGCTTCGCGGTGTCCCGTGGTCCTCTGCGTGGAGCGCGCTCCTTTTCTGCGGCAATTTTTCACTCGTCGGAAGGCCGGGTTTCCTGCAGCTCTCCCTGCCCCTCCTGCACACGCACTTCAATAACGTCCTTTTCGTGTTCCAAAGTCAGTGCGCCAACCTTCCTGTGCTCTGTGCTAACCCACCTCAGAGCCCTCAACTCAACAGCGAAATGTCGGAGCTGTTTCTATTTGGTCTATACTGGTCCAGCTGAGAGCAGGACAGACAGCTTGAGGGAATTGGGGGATTGGATAGTTTCAGGTAGGTCACTTTGCCTTTTCCAAAGTGAAGGTCATGACCTCGATAGATTGGAATTGAAGCAGTCCTCTCAGGACACAGAATGAACACTACGTGAGGAAGGAGAAAGTTTAGGAGTTCTTGAGGTCAGCTCCACTACATAAAGAATTCAGAGGTAGCCTAGGCTACTTGAGACCCTGTTCGGGGAGAACCAAAGGGGGAAGGAGACAATTCTAGGCTCACCAAGTCAATGGTAGAGCTCTTGCACACAGCAGCCCCTTGCTGGCTGGAGATAGCAAGTATGCAAACGTCTGCAAGGCGGTTTTACGAAGGCAATTGCTGAAACAGTTATTAAAATTACGTAATGGGGAAAAAAGAATCCTTCAGAGCCACCCGAAAAAATTTATTAGAAGTACTTTCTTTGCCAAAAGTTTGGGGAGAATTTTGTAATTTTTTTTTCTCTACTCCTTAGTCTCCTTAGACTATGTGGTTAAAATCCAATGAGAGAAAATGACCTAAAGACAAAAATTACAGAGCAGTTTCAAAGTTCATCATTTGTTTGATGGAGGAAATGCAGTATATCCTTTAGGAGTTACAACTATTTCTGAGACAGAGTTAAATGTGGTCTCTAGCTCCAGACTTCAGGATAAAGTCAAGTGTGGATGAAGGAGATTCCTGTCCCTCTTTATGAGCATAAATAGTTGGATAACTAACCTGTCAGTAGAGACCTGGCCAGGAGGGTAGCCTGTAAGATCAGCCACTTTAACCTGTCAAAGGATGTGTGACAGGAGAATAGAGGCTGAAGAAACCTGTATTAAAATTAACATAAATGAAGCTAGTTGGCTTTCCTAGGTTTCGTGTAACAAACAGAACATGCAAGAGAAAAAAGCCTTGATATCATGGGAGAAGTACTCTATGTAAATGTCCTGTATGGGGTCAGGTACCTTGTAGCCTGATACTGTGGGGGCTTTTTCCTCATCTCATTAGCCCACTCCTAGTCTCAAGAATGCTTTCCCTTTCCTAATAAGTTAACTCTGTTTCTAACCTGTAACCCTGGCGCAATCCTTTTTTCCTGGAACACACAAGTGCCTGGAATCAGGTTCCCTCCAAGCTCAGATCCATGCCTTACAGGTTCTCTCAAACATTTTCGAAGTACAAGAGAAAGGAAATACAGCAGACATAGGTTTATTTGAACTTTCAAGAAACATTGTCTAAGCAACTCTTAAAAAAAAAAAAGACCGAGAAAACAATCCTGAAGAAATTAAGCAAGGACATCAAAGCCCAGTAAACATCACAAAATAATGAGAAGCGGAGAAGATGTGTTCCCTAGAATGGAAAGTTGTCCCGGATGTTTGCACAGTGCTGGATTGAAACATTATATAATACAAATGTTTCTCAGAATTAATCTTTCGCAGGAGGAGAGTTTGTGGACGTTCCTGGGGGAGTCCTAAATTCTCTTGTCATAGACCAAAACTGTGTTTCTAACATGTTTTATTTACCTCCTTAGCTCCATCCCAGTACTTTAAAAAAAATCAGAGCCAAAGAATATCTTCTGGAAGATAAAATCCAAACAGTTCTGTGGAGTGTTTGCCGGTGTGTTTATTAAGTGCCCTTGGGAATTTTCCATTCTGCCTGGCTCATCCTCTATTAGAGATATAAGATATTGAGATATAATTGTGTAATTGTGTAGTTGCTCTTGTTATTTTTTATAATAGGATTTTTAAGTGTGCTAAAAAGTGCACAACATAAAATTTACTATCAAACATTTTTAATTGTATAGTTTTAAGCGTATAGTTGTTGTAGTTCACATACTAATTTTTAGAACAGTCTCCTCTCTTTGACCCTTTAAGCAGCTGCAACTCCATATTTCTAATCTGTGGGAACCACCTTTACTTTCTGTTTATATGAGTTCGACTACTATAAAAAACATATATAAACTATTCATCTTTTTTGACTGGTTTATTTCACATAATATAATGGCGTCTAGGTTCATCCATGTTACAGCAATGTGTCAGAATTTTCTTCCTTTTGAAAGCTAAATAATATTCCATTGTGTGCATTTTTAAATCCGTTTTTCCATTGATGGACAGTTCTCACCTTTTGACTACTTTTTATTGCTGTGATAAAAACAACTTGGAGGGGCTGGAGAGATGGCTCAGCAGTTAAGGGCACTGGCTGCTCTTGCAGAGGACCTGGGTTCGAATCCCAGTACCCACATGGTGGCTAACAACCATCCATAACTCCAGTTCCAGGGGATCCGACACCCTCTTCTGACCTCCACAGGCACTTCACGACATGGGTGCACTTATGTACATACAGGCATAGCACTCATACGTGTCATAAACGTGAAATAAAAATATATTTTTTAAAAAGACATCAAGGGACTGGAGAGATGGCTCAGCAGTTAAGAACACTGGTTGTTCTTGCAGAAGACCTGGGTTCAAATCCCAGCACCCACATGGCAGCTAGCAACTGTCCATAACTCCAGTCCCAAGGGATCTTCTGACCTCCTCAGGCATTGCACGACATGGGTGCACTTACCTACATGCAGGTAATACACACATACACATTAAAAATAATAAATAAAATTTTTTAAAAAGATCAAATTCTTGAGTTCTTTATTATACAGCAGTAACTGATACCCTAAGTCAAAGTAATGACCAAGAGAAAATCTTTTTTTTTTCTTTATTTTTATTTTACGTATATGAGTGTATTGTCCGCATGTGTGTAAGTGTACCCGGTTCCTCCAATGCTCGAGGAAGTCAGTAGAGGGTGTCAGATCCCCTGGAACTGGAGTCAAGGAACATTGTTAGCCACCATGTGGGTGCTCTTAACCACTGAGCTCTCTTTCCAGTCCTGAGAAAATCTTTTTTAAAGTGACTCATTTCTTACTGCTAATTGTAATTACTTTCTGTATACCTGGGTATTTATGACAAAGACTCATTCCAAATAATACTTTGCTGATCGCTGATCTGCTTCAGACTTGTGTTTACCTTAATCCTAAAAAAGTAATTCTGTACCACACTGAATTTTTGCAAATTATGCATTTGACCCAAGTATTGTGGAACATACCTGCAATCCCAATACTGGAGAGACGGAGGCAGGAAGATTATGAGTTCCAAGCCAGCCTGGACTAAATAACTAGAAGACCCTGTTGAAAAAATTAAAAATTTAAAAAAGGAAGAGCGGAAGGACAGAAGCTATGCATTTGAAATGCACATTGCATAGTAATTCTCAGTGTTATTTTCATGTCCTATTGCTTGTTATTCCTCATTTATTATTCTTAGTGCTCAAATTAGCAGAGTTGTGCCATGGTGAAGTGCAGATTATAAACTTTGCTCTTAGTGGGTCTGTCTTGCCTTTATAGGACAACTTTAAGCCTAAGTGTAATCTCAACGAAAATTCTGAAAGACTCAGATGAAGTCATACAGAAGGAAATATGCTCATTTAGGAGCTGGGATGTTCCTCTTTTCTATCAACAAGGCCACCTTGAAACCATGCTGTTTTCTGAACTCTATAAATTCAGGCTTTGTCTCCCAGAGTATCACTGGATACTGTGTTTCCAAAGTCCATTTTAAAAAATTAATACAGATGCTATTTTCCAGAAGCATACAGTTTGAGTAAAAACTTTTGCTAGAAGAACTAGAGGAGGCAAAAGGGTCTGTTCTACCTGTCTGCCCTAGTTTGTTTCACCATTGCTGAGACAAAATATTCTGGCCAATACAACTTGGGGAGGAAAGGGTTTATTCAGCTTACATCTCCCAGGTCACAGTTCATCAGGGAGCCCAAGGTAGGAACTCAGGGCAGGAACCTGGAGGCAGGAGCTGGAGCACAGGCCATAGAGAAACTCTGCTTACTGGCTTGCTCCCCTGGCCCCTGCTCAGCCTGCTTTCTTATGCAACACAGAACCACCTGCCCAGGGGTGGCACCACCCACAGTGGGCTGGGCCCTCTCACATCACTCAACAATCAAGAAGATGCCCCTCAGACATGGCCACAGGCCAGTCTTATGGAGGCAATTCCCTAACAGAGGCTCCCTCAACCCAGGTGTGTCAAGTTCACACTAAAGCTGTCCAGCACACCATCCAAGATTAGAGTTTTTGGGTGTTCCTGTAAAGAAAAGATGAAGGAAAAAGAAAGGAGTAAAATGAAGTGTTGAAGAGGAAGATGATAGAGGAAACACAAGAGTAGAAGGAAAAAGCAGAGAAGTGGGGAAGGAAGGCAGTGAAGA